CCCCAAAACCCCAAAACCCCTTGAAGCTAGTATTCTCACATTTAAGTTAATTACTATAAGAAATTTAATAAAAATATAGGCAAATTTACTGACTTACCATATTTTCCAGACATATTAATTATCTTAAATTATAGATTTAGCCATTTAGTCAACATGCAACTTTAAAATCAGGTCAATCAAATCTTAACAATAATAAAATAAACATAAGTTAAATGTAATTCAATAGTTCAGATTCTATGTTTGAAGATAAATATGACATTGTCACAATTACTAAATCGCTAGTGTTTGAGATTTAATATACTGTGGAGCCTTTGATGTAGCCATGTGTCTCATACAATTATCTTATGGAAAATGGTGTTATTAATCAATAATGCTAAAGAGAAATTAGTACAAAAGATTTTAGATTTCTTTATGAAGCCACAATTTTGGCTATGAGCTTGCAGCATCATTTGGGTAGCAACAATGAGAAAGTAGTTTCTTAACTTTCAGATCTTTTGCCTGATCAAAAGGAGTTTGGTTATTAAACCATTAGAATTAAAATTGTTGGCACAAAGAATAGATTTAATCTATTGCTTTTTATGCTATTCAAAGATGATGAAGTGCATTGGATCTTCGATCATAATTATTGCCCAATTAAGAATCCTGCACTCTAGATTGAGGTAAGCCTAGGATTTATGGAAGAGTATTTGTTCAAGTCTCTACCATACTAGAAGGAACTCTAAGAAGACCAAAACTCATTCTAAGGAAGTGATGGACAACCATTAGGTAATAAAAGCAAGCCCTCGTCAGATGAAGAAAAAAAATCTTAAGATGGAGAAAGTCAAGATTCACAAAAGTCAAATGTCTTTGAGTAAAAGAATATGCTACGCTCTGTGATGCAGAAGTTTAAGGAGGATTAAAATAAAAAAATTTGAAAATGAATAAGTAATTAATTTATTACTAAGAAATACTTTCTTTAATATCATTAATAATTTATATATATATATCAAATAGTATTTTAAGTAATGGTTATCAAGGTATCAAAATAGCACTCAAACTATGATTCAAGTGAAACTCCTCAAATTGCTATGACATGTTTTTACTAATCAATCTATCCATCATTGATACCTAACAACAAATTAAACTTTTTCAGACTTATAATACTCTTACCTACATTATATACAATATATCAGGCATTCTAAGTCTCAAGTTTTGCTGCATAAATCTCATATTTTACTAATTGGGGTTTGCAAATTGCTTTCTTATCACTAATACTTTCAATTATGGCATCTTAAGAAAGTTTTCAGAAGTAACTAAAATTGTAAAAGCTTGCACAAGTAGTTTGTGAAATCGCATTGGTATCATAATTTGTGATAGTAATTGTTTATTGGACTCAGCTTCATAAACATACGTTAATTGAAGTGGCCTAGTTATCAAAGACAGATCCTAAGTTTGCAGAATCATTCCTTTCATTCATCATTGATATTCATATATTCCCCTTTTCAACAGTGTTTGCTAACATTCTAATGAGCAAAATTGTATTTTAACTTTCAGATATGAAGTACTCTATAGTTTACGGGACTACTTATTCATTTGTTAATTTTGTAAGCACTTAATTTAGTGGAAGGTATATCTATCCCTTCATGACTTGGGAAAGTCCAGCTTCTTTGATTGTTTGTGCTGCTATTGTTGGCTTTAATTGCCTTATTTTCTTCCTTATGACTAAGATTTTTCAGAATAGAATGATTATCAATAAAAAATTCAATTGAGTTGAATATGAATCATTTACTTATAGAAAAGTGATAGATCTGAATAGATTTTATTTTATCAATTCTATTTGATATTAAATTATATTAAACTACTTTGCTATACCTAAAATGATTTCTCTAATGGGGTTTTGGGGTTTTGGGGTTTTGGGG